TTATCTTTTATCGCTTTATTGGTTGTGAATCATTTTAAGACGGGTTTATGCCGTTGCTTCTATCGTTTTTGTCATTTATGTGTCTCTTCCTAAAATCGATTTTCTATTCGCTAAAAAAAAAGTGAAAGTCAATGAGTCATTACACCGGCATTGTGCGCTCTTCTCTAGAACCGAAAGTGAAAGTACCTCTGCGAATTATTTCGTGGAAAAAAGGTAAAGTGGTTTTTCTATCCACTTCCCGTTTGACGGTAACCGAGATATCTTTAGCTAGGAAATCCAGATAACCTTGAGCTGGAACGACACTCAGTGTAGTTCACGGTACAGAAGGAAAAAGCCGGAGCGTGGCCCGTGGACAAGTCGAATAAGTTACAGGTATGTAAAAGGACCAGTTTAGGTAGATTGACCTCACTTAAAACAACACATAGTCTATCAGCAGGACATCTTCCTTGAATTATCTTATATAACGACACTCGACCTGGCAATGGGGTTAGACAACTGATGGATTCAATTTCGGGAATCAATTTATTTCCATCCGCGTGGGGAGTCAACCTGGAATTTGGTGCTGCCGCTGGAACTAATTTGACTTTTTTGAAAGTGCTAATTTTGAGGTAGTAGTTCTTATAACAAGATGTGTTCTTAAGATTCCACGCACGTGTTCTTAAAAGTTCAACAGTCCTTTCGCTAGGCTGGAACACTCTTTTTTGTACAGGCAAGATTCTGGTTCGGGTGGGTGACCTTATGGCAGCTGCAAATCCTACAATGTAGTTACGAAATGAATTCCGTCAAAAAAGCCGGTGCGGATGTGTGGTGAAACGAAACATGCTGTTTTTATTTATTTATTTATTTTGTCGAACTGCCGTTTCTTGTAGTTTATTTCTGAGTAAACAGATATAGCTCATGTCAGTGAAAGTAAGCACAATTGGCACATTGAACTATTTTTATTGATGTCCCGTGGGACTCATTAATACATTTAGAGACCATTTATTACTCCGGATAAATAAGTGACAGGCAATCGATATTTACAAAGATATGCAAATTGTTGTAAATTTTCTGTGAATTGCGTTTGTCTCAGACTGCTACAAGAAGCACAGAAGCGTCATTAAATATTTGCGATCGCATTTTATCAACCTAGTGTAAGGGCAAATTATTTTTTACAATTCCTTGAAGTTTCATTGTTCTTCGGTAAAATTTCAAATCTTTATAGTTTCACTTTCACTTTGACAGTGCTCTTGTAACTTTCAATATACAGAAACATACTTTTTGAAGCATAAGAATAACGTCACACATGTATGCGAGCTTCATTATGTTTTGGAATCATGTTCCGACAAAGTTTGCTACACCACTAGTGGTAAGCAGCGACAAAAGTGTTTCACTTCACTGGCTGTTCCTATTGTGACTAAGTCTTCTCTAACACATTCCCGTATTAGCGCGGTCTGACGTCAATGATCAGGCATTTATATAACAGAAAAAACGGAAAAAAGGAAATAGTTTTTATATCTTAATCGTACTATTCCCCCTGGTGACGAACATCCCCCCTCTCAACTTTTCAAAATCAAATACTGAAGTAGAGAAAGAAAAAAACTGTTGTTCCCAGCAAATGCGGCACTATTTCCAAATGGCCCAAATATCCCCGTGTTTTCAAACGTTTTCGGAGAGAACATACAGCCCCCCTCCCGACCTCGAGAGGGCAAAGACACATAATTTGCTCGTAAGGCCTTAAACGTGAATAAAATGCACCGAAAGACCTTTTTTTCAGTTGCCATCAGCTGTTTGTTGAACCATTTGCAATGTTGTTAAGGTATGCCGCTATGTAACGTAACCGAAATACATACGTCAATGTAATTAAGCATTTCCTACCGGACCATGAAGTACACTATAAATCAAATCTCTGCAAAATGTTTTAAATGATTTGACTGTGGTATTTTAATGTTGCCTTTCTTCCCTGTGTGCGATGCACCTTTTTCCTGATCTTGAGCAACGAAGAGGTGAGTATAAACGCCACGGTTCCTGCGTCTCACGTGGAACTTATTTCCTTCTTTAAAGTAGCTGATATCAGAACATTATAGCTTTGTCCGCCTGTGAGATGCTTACTAGTTTTATGAAACAGATTCTTGCTTCGGATATCAAATATGTCAACATATAATGACACGGTTGGTTTAGAACAATAACAAAGAGACGAACAGGTCGCAGTTTGTAAATTGCCCTTTTCATTGCATCAAGCATGTCAGTATTATTCTTAACACTATAACAACATTGCCGAATTTTCTCAAACATGGACGTCTACAATGGTTTCGGCTTCAGGGTGAAAATTTTAGAGTGAAAATCTCTGCGCTTGAAATGGAATGGACTCAATTTCCCTTTGAAGTTCACCTTCTTCATTTCCTCAAATACTGTACGTACTCTAATCGCATCCAGATCATTATGAAGCATATTTGTTGCCTTTAGGTTGTAAGATTGTTCTTTTAACACTTTTTTTTTTGAAAATGCGGCCTCTCTTAGAGCGTGTAGTAGTCTTTCTGTCTGCACATAACGTGTCTTCGATTCGTTGATGCATGTAATTTTAATCAGATATGTAAAATATTCCAGTCATTCAGATGTTTTATTATGTGTTGTCTAGAACCTACTTAATCAATTGTGAGAGTTCATTTTTTGTTTTGATTTTACCCTACATAACAAGGAAAGGGAATTGAACCCTGTTGTTGTAGATTTAGGAGAAAATAAATCTAACTGACTGTCACTAATGCAACACGTGGCCATAAACTATTATATTTAAATAGAAAAGATAAGTTTATTACGCTATAAATTCAAGTCCAATCACATTTACGGGCACTCAATCAATACTACAACGTTTACTGAACACTTACCACATATCTGAATAATAATAGACACTGCAACTCAATTTTGAAGTTAAATTGACACAAATGCTAATAAGTGCAATACATGCGCGTGTGTGATATGTGGCCATATTATTTTTCTACGGACATGACGGCCGTGACATAAATACCGCAGCTGAAATATTGGATCGGCGGGTTGATGTTGATGTTGACGTTGTGGTTGGACGTGATGGCTTTCACAGTGTGCCACATGCTTTTAATTACGACCTCTCCTTGAACTAACACGGAACTGTTTTACTCTGAGAGAAACGGCGAGCATCGACCCTAAATAAGTCTGGGTCAAATAATTGTTTTTGTTTGCTTTTATTGTTATTTTCTTACTGGGTAACATGCTTATTCATTAATTAATTAATCTTTTTATGAACAATTAACAACGTATCCCGAGTGCAAATTTTATATATACTATGATATAATATATATATATCAACTGGGAAGCAGCCCAGTCAGTCCCGTAGAGTACACTTATCAGCTACCCATCACGTTTTGTCCAAAAACGTGTCCGGCAGAGCAAAGCCGTGCGTGTCTACCCTGAGTTTCTGCGTTCAGAGAGATAACTTGGTTAAGTCTGATTCCACCATTGCATCCACATATATTGACGCTAGCCGTGGTCGTGGCTGTGTGTCCTTAATGGTTTTCCAAGACGACTCGGCTACAAAAATTGCACCCTTATTATCCAAGGGGATAGGGAAATTTCCAGTAGAGTTATGAAACTCAGGGTCATACACGTGTCCAATAATACTTGAATGTCATTGCTGTGTTTAACGAATGTACCTGTTTCCAGAAGGTTCTACCGACTGCCGTACCAAGGGGAGAGAGCATATATCGTGAGAACCGACGAGGTCACCATGTATCCCAACTTCGGTATTGCCACCATTTTTGTACTCATCTCAGTAGCCGTGACTGCAGGTACGTACCGGTGCATGTAGATTATAACCAGCGTCTTTAGATTTAAGAGCAGCCGTAAATCGTTTGTTTCCTGTTTTGCCATAAACCTTTGGCAGATTTTAGCTGGAAGTAGTTCAATTGTTGTTCGGCAAATTTGGAAAGTAGAAATCGGCACGTTCTTAAAACTTGGGGTATTTAGGGCACACACGTTTATCTTTTCTGTCTGGTTGTAGAGGCTGTGTAGAAGGGGCAGGGTAGAAGGGGCTGTGTAGAAGGGGCAGGGTAGAAGGGACGGAACGCACATCCTTGAAAACTTCTCTGTAAGTTTCTCTGTAATAACGGTTTTAGTACACAGTTTTTTCATTTCAATTAACAAGTTTCTTATACAACATATAGTTTGTGGATCCCCAAACGAGTTTTTTTTCCCCTCTCTCTCTCTCTCTCTCTCTCTCTCTCTCTCTCTATATATATATATATATATATATATATATATATATATAAAGTTTTAGGGACCGTTCCCACAGATATTTGGATCGATCTCTCTCCCTGCGGAGTCTCACTAAATTGCTGTCAAACTAATCGGCTTAAACGTCTGTAACGCCTAGGAAAACTGTATGGGGATAATCATATTTACCCCTAGCTGATTCGGTAGGCGTGACAGACATTTAAGCCTCTTGAGCTGATAGCAATTTAGCGTGAACCCCCAGGGAGTTAGGTCAATCCAGATGGATCGATCTAAGTATGGGAACCCAGTCTAAAAGGTCTGAGAACATCTAGGCATGAGGAAGCGAGAGTAAACACGATAGGTCAAGATAGTTGTCAGTTCCATGGGCACATTTCCGCACCTACATGAAACATGTATTATGAGTGGCATATGCACGCAGAATGGGGTAATAGATTTTCAATGCATTTTTCCAAAGCCAAAAATTTTAGGGATTTGGCTTCATATCCGTGATTTATGTGATACGGCATGTTATACGTGCTCATTGACAAATGTTTACCAAGCAGTTTGATTGATGTTGGCTACGAACAAGGAAGTACAAGTGTATATATGGTACCTGCCTATGGTTTAGCCTTCCTGTAGACCTGGGCCTACAATTTATAGCTACGTGTATGCTATCTAATCTAATAATTGTATGCTGTCCCATTCAACGACCATGGCTCATTTGAAATTGGTAGCTAGACAAGTGACAAAATTAATCAGAATACAAAGAAGGGGCTTTATACAGTGTTCTGTTTGATTATTGATTAAAAGTTCCATAAAAGCAAAAGGTCGATTTGCCATCGCCATTTGCCATCGCTTAATTCTAGACATCTTTTATACATATTTCTTATCACAAGGTGGATTCTGTGCTGCATTATTTGGCGGTACATACTAATTTTAATTATTCAAATTGCACACGTCCACTGAAGTTACATAACTACAGGTAAGGCCATAAAACGAGTCGAGTGCACAAGCAATCGACTCTAATCAAATTAATTTACATGTCTGGGAATTATATTTGTGAACACTACATCTTGCTTAATGCAATCAGATTAACAAGAGCCCTCTTGGGGTTGAGTAGAATACAGAAAAGCTGGAGATTATACAAGAACTTTGAAACCAAATGAGGCGTGTAAATCTTTTAATTTGATTGCAAAAGTTCCCGGTCTACGTAGAAAGTTTTATTGGGAATTAGCTCTTAGCTGGTAAACCTCCTCAGTTAAATAACAAGAAGTTGGGTTTTATTCCGCAGAAGGCAAAACGAGCACCTACGACGCAGACGACCTAAGCCACCCCTGCCTTAGAGACTGCGTGGACGGCGAGACCCCGAGGACCTGCGAGTACGACTTTGCCGTGGAGTGGTACTACGTGCTGAGCAAGGCCTGTTACGACTGCCCGTTTAACGGCACGGATTGCGACAGGCCGCACTGCGTGGCGGCAGATGGCGTCAGAAAGGCAATCACTGTGGTCAACAGGCGCCTTCCAGGACCAGGGATATTTGTAAGTGATTATTTTTTTACTAGAATACTGGCTGTTGGAAAATTTTTAAAATATCCAGAAATCAGGAGTGCTTTTTGAAGTTTTCGGTTAAATTTTTAAGTCAATTATTAGGATAAAATATATTTTCTTTATTTTGTATAGGCCTATATTAAATAAATCAATAGGCCCTATATAGGGCCTATAATTGTAACCTACAATTGGGTACCTTGAATAAGGGACATCTTTTCATTGTACCTATTTTTCAAAAGATGTCTGTGTCCCCATGTAAGTTAATAAGCACAGTTATATATATAACTCTACTTATTATACATTTGTATCTATAAAAATAATTTAGATGATACTTATGCAATGAAAATGGCTCAATGTGCTGTATTTTAGTGGCGCTGCAAGAGGAAATTAGTTAATGTTCATTGCACGTGTAACTGGAAATTACCAATATTTCCAAGATGCACGGCAGAGAATTGATAATTCAGTAAAACAACACGACATCACATTCAAATAGGAGGGAAATCTAAAGCCACACAGCAAACACGTCACGTTTGGATCACGTGGCTAGCTCGTTGCTACCACATATATTGTAACGTCATAGCAACGTGCTAGCCACGTGATCCGAACGTTACGTGTTTGCTGGGTAAGTGATATTCTGGATATGGTTTCTACTAAAGCTGAAACACTAACTGCCGGCACCGTCAATTCCCAGGTCTGCCAGAACGACACTATCATCGTCAACGTGAAGAACAAAATGTCCACGTCCGATGGAGTCACCATACACTGGCACGGAATACTGCAGGAAGACTCACCGCACATGGATGGTGTCGCCATGATTACACAGTGTCCCATACCCTCACACAGCACATTCCGATACGAGTGAGTGTTGATTTGGTGTGCCATCTCCAAATATGGAGTTAGATTAATTGTTATGTTTATAAGTTGCCGAAAATGTGATAATTCATTAACTTACTGTGGGGGCAACGCGTACGTATCTCTTCTTTTTTCTAAGTTAAGATGAAACACGAAATAAAATCTCATTTTTGATAAATTTTCGATAAATAACTTTTGACCATTTTGATCAGCGATTTGTCAAAATATGTAGTTTCCATCTGAATTAAATACCGTTGCTTTAAACTTTGACGAAAAAAAAAAAAAGGACTGGCAATACGAGAAAATCGTTTTATTCACCCAAGTTCTAAATGAGGTTTTCAAGGGAAATAAAAAAAGTAGGTGGACCAGTAAAATTACAGCTCTCAGTGAACAAAATTGCCATTCAATGCCCTTATAATGAAGCACGCGACTCCTTTTCAGATTCAAAGCCACTACAAAGGGGACACATTTCTGGCACGCCCACTCCGGCATGCAGCGTGCCGACGGCGTCTTCGGCCCACTGGTTGTCCGACTTCCGCCGGGAGCTGACCCCCACCATGACCTTTACGATTATGATCTCGCAGAACACTATATCATCGTCACTGATTGGCTGGGTGACGTCACAGTAAACCGTTTTGTAGCGCATCACCATAGAGACGGAGACAATAAACCACAGTCCATGTTGATTAACGGTATGCGAGTAGATTTTTTTAGAAGATGAAAAACTGAACCTGTTTTTTACCGAAGAAAATCATCATTAACCAATGTAACACGTTTCTGTGAAAAGAAGAAAAAAAAAAAAAAAAAACAACAACAACAAACATCATAAACCATTGTTTAAAAAACGTTTCTGTGAGAAAAGTTTCTTTTTAAAATGTTTGTTAAAAATGGCCATCACATTTTTGGAAACAACACATATGCATCTTAAAGACTGAGAATGAATGTGAAAGTGGCGATTCTATCCCACTGTGTAATTTTGAAAATAAAATACTTGTATGATGTGCATTTCAGAACGCGTGTGCAGGCTGTTTGCTGAGAGAGAACGTGTTGCTTTAACTCGATCAACCATTTTCGATCAGTATTAAAAGAGTTTTATTTCTTTTAGGAAAGGGGGCATTTGAACCCTACACCGACGACAAATCCAACCGAACCATTTACACGCCATATGCGGTTTTTAATGTCACCCAAGGCAAGAGATATAGGTTCCGCGTGGCGAGCAATGGCATTCTGAACTGCCCCATACAGGTAGGGAGACCAGCAACAGGAAATTGTAATAGTATCTCATTTGACTTGCGCTTGTTTGAATTTTAAGGCATATCCGCTGCATTTAATGGTTATCTTATTTGAGTCACAAATTAATTTGTCAGATAATGTCTATAGGGCCTATAGATTATGCTAGATCCCAGTAGGGTTTATAGCACCTTTAATTAGTCTAAACATTTAAAAGCTTCATGTATGTCAGTCTTGATATCCCCTCTTTCTTCGTATAGCGAAATGCCCACAAATGTCAAACTCTTTTCTTCCACAGATATCAGTCGACGGCCACAACATGACAGCAATCACGTCTGACGGAAAACCTTTCGATCCAATTGAGATCGAATCGTTCAATATATTTGCCGGGGAACGGTACGACTTTGTACTTAACGCAAACGCCAGAGTCGACAACTACTGGATTCGGGTGGTTGGTCTTGCCGACTGTGCCAATAAAAAAGCGAAACAGGTGGCAATATTACGCTATAATGGGGCACCGATTGAGGATCCTAAAGCCCCAACTGATTACGAAAACATGATGCGCAGTGGAAAGGTAAGGAATAGTTACAACGATCGTAACAAAAAGTGACATTTTTTGGCCTCGAATGGCTAAATATATAGGGCCTACCTTAAAACGTGGCTGGATTTCATTTTTCGTTTTTATTCCATTTTTCCGTTTGAAAATGTAACATGCTTTTGCGTCCGTTAACTACTGCATGTTATACCATTTCATGCATTTTAAGCAACTGAACCCGTGGAACACCAAAGCAGACGACAACTACATTCCCGTGGTGCAACTAAACAACACCGACCCAGATGACGCCACGTCGCAAGAGGAGCCTGACGTCAAATTCTACTTGGCTATGGATTTTAATAAAATAGACAACGAACTCTTCCATAACCCCATGTATTACCCAGTCAGTGCCATAGACAAGGGGCGTCATTTGTACTCGCCGCAGATCAACCATATCTCTAACATTTTCCCTCCTTCTCCGCCTATGACACAATATGGGGACATTCCAAAGGTACACTTTATTTCTATCCCTGTCCGATGTATATAATATTTATTAATGGCACCTTATTTACAGGCAAACGCATGACACCATTTCCAGCAATTTGTATCAGTTACGCTTTTGACTTACGATGCAGTCAGTACGCATTTTTTTTCAACTAGGAAATAACATAATAGTCATGTAGTCTTCTTGGACATAATGTCGCACTTGATTTTATCTAATGATATTGTCTCCTAGACCCATTTTTAATCTTATTCTTCAGCAACATGTATAGAAAGCTTCGTCTTGTTCTGCATAAAATATGCAAAGTATAACTTCCCAACACTTGATTGTTTCAATGTTTCAGAAGTTTTGTTTCTGAAGAAACGCGACGGCCCAGAATTTATTTTTCTGTATATGGTATTTCAGGATTTGTTCTGCAACGAAGAAACTCGCTCCAACTGCACAGAAACCTACTGCGAGTGCGTTCACATGTTAGAGGTGAAGCTAGGACAGGTAGTCGAGATTGTCATGGTGGACGAAGGGTTCGCCTTTAACGCCAATCACCCCATGCATCTTCACGGCTTTGCTTTCCGCGTGGTGGCGCTGCGGAAGGTACGAAACCAAACAAGAAACTTGCAACCAGTTTAAAGCTCATTTGAGGCCAGATAAAATTTGTTCATTCACATATGCAATTAACATTCGCAAAATGCTTGACGGCAGTCATTTTGCCTAAAAAATTCGTAACAGACCCATGTAAGTTGATCGTGACTTAGAGTCCAAGATAAATTAGAAGAATTCTATTCAATAAGAACTCATTGGTCTGATGGTTGTAATGTATATTCATATCCCTGAAAAAAGCTTGATATAAATATATTTATTTATAAAAAATACGCAAAATTTTTTATCGTATAGATATGATTATTTATTAGTAAATGCCGTTTTCGTCTGATGTGTTTTACCCCTGTATATGTCTCAGATGGAAGTTGCTTCTTCTCCAGATTAATCAGTCTGTCACAGTGGAACAGATAAAGCAGATGGATCGAAATGGAGAGATTCCACGTAAGCTCAAAGGTGCCGTGAAAAAGGACTCCGTCACGGTGCCAGATGGAGGTTTTACCATCATACGGTTCCACGCGACAAATCCAGGTAAAGCCCGTTAAATACTGTTCTATTCTCATTAAACCCTACGGCCGATTTGGTTCTAAATTATTTCCCGGTCTTGTTCTATATATATCTTCCATTCTTATGTGCTGTTACACTGTCAGCCGAGTGTTGCATCCTTTTCTGTTTGTTCGGTCCTTTTTGTCCGTTTTAGCTGTGTCGTCTACAATGTGAAAACTCTTAAAAACGTAAATGTCATCTTCAGAAATCAAGTGGCTACAAAAGCGATCATTTTAAAACGTGTTCAATTTTCCCCCGACAAATATGACAATACAGCGCTGATGTTTGTCATGGCAATCAATTTTAAAAAAGAGAGTCACGTTTAGCTAACGGAAATCACGACGTATAATGATATGTCAAACTGTGCCAGTAGTGAATGAATTGTAATGTTGACATTTAAATAGATACAGGTATTAGTATGCTGTATTTACTTTTGCAGGTGCCTGGCTTTTGCACTGTCACATCGAATATCACGTTGAAATTGGAATGGGACTTATAGTTAAGGTTGGCGAACCGGAAGATCTTCCCAAGCCGCCACGGAACTTCCCGCGCTGCGGCACGTGGCAGTACGAGGATGACGTAACACAGACGTCATCAGCTCCATGTCCTACACTCAAAACACAAAACAGTGTGAACAGTGTAAACGGTTTAAGGGCCACGTGTTTGTCACTCCTTTTCATGGTACTGCCCCTATTACCTTTATATTTTTAGAGGTAAAATTTAAAATGTCTCTTATTTTTGTAACAGAATTATTAATATATTAACTGTTGAGCACAAGGACGCAAGATGAAATATAAAAGATCGTCTGTGCTTTATTTTTAAAGAATACCTTTTCAACTTTAGAGGTATATTCCCGAAAATTTTATATTTTATAGGTCATACAAGATTTTCAAGCTATCATTTGCATTTTAACCGAGCAGGTCTTGTTATAGAGAAAGGAATGTTATTGGCTTACATCAAAATGATTTTGTTGAAGTTTTTTTTTTTGCTTCTCTTACTAACACAACAGTTTTGTGTCTGATATTTTTCCATCGTGTCTTCAGTGTTTTATAACTTTTTTATATTACCATTAAAGAGCACAAAAATGAAATTAAATTTTTTATTTAAATTGTAATGCCAAGATGTCATTCAATATATTTTTATACATGTATAAGAGCTACCAATGAAGTAACATCATATCGACAGTAATTTCAGTTTTGGGTTTGATAAGACCAAAAGATATGTCTCTCCCGGGATATGCATGGGAGAGTAAAACTACAGCGCAATTCTCTTTTAAAATGCTATTTTTTTTATAAAAATCCCAAAACGTGTTTTTAAAAATGTCTATATCTCATTCAAATTCAATCTGCTAATTCTGAAATGTAATACTTGTCTCCTCGGCTTTGGGATTGACGGTTTTCTATGACAACTGCAGATATTTAAAATTGAAATGGTTTCAAAGCTTTTCAAATATGTACAGAAGTAACAATTTTAGTACTTTGAAATTTGGGCATATAAAATGTTTAACCTGCTGACAGAATATATCTTAAATATTTTCTAACAATCAACATTTATAAATCTAATCCGTATCAATTTGCATTCTCGCTTTTTGATAGTACATTCTAAATTTTGTTCTATAGGACTTATGTGGATTTTTGATATTTAACAAACTTATTATAATTTCTGATGACTGTCCACCTCTGAAATATATATGAATGTTACTTTGACCATTCCTGGATATTTGAAAAGGCCTTGAACTACCACAAAGACACCCCAAAGTGAAACAAAAATATGGTTTGGCAGTTACAGGGAGTGATGTGTCAGGCAGTGAAGGCAGGGAGTCACAGTGCTCAGCAAACATACAGAGTAGTAGTAGTAGTTTCAGGTCCTTAGCCAGCAATTTCAAAGGGGGGGTTCTTTTTCTGAAAAAGTGGACCTTTTACCATATAATCCCCATGTACCTTGGTCAAATTTTACCCAGAGTGGACCTTTTTCCAGCAAAAAGGGGGGTTCTTTCGAACCCCCCCTGGCTATGGGCCTGAGTTTATTTACTGTGACATTCTCCTCATAGGTATGGTACAACAATTTATAGCATAATAATGTTTATCAAAATAAAATAAATAAAGAGACATGCAGTGTCTGCACATAATAAATAATACAACAAACTAGTACACCAGATCACTTGAACACAAGTCATTAGGTTAATTTTTTCTTTATTCTCATTTTCACATCAAAATTTACACAAAAATTTACAAAATGTACAATATCTCCTTTATATCTGACACTGGGACACCACATCGGTGCTTCTTTGACTTTAGTTCTTTGCAACTGCATGATGAAACCACTATGCAATACTTAATAATTGCACACAGAAAAGGCAACAATAAAAAGCAAATTCTGGAAAACAATACCAAGTTTCTAAAGAAGTCCACCATAAAATCATTCACTTTTTCGTGTTACATTTCATGCAAGTGCTCATACATGGGAAAAACAATTGCACCTCACTAACAAAATACAACAACACAACATATAGCTGGGAAAAGTGCTTCCTTTAATAAATATGCAATAAGCAAAAGCATCTTTTGGGGTACACAAATAATGTAACAGATTACATTACCTATAGGCAACACATTTAGTATAAAACAAACAATGATGAGAATGGGCTTAATGCAGGCTTCTAGATTGTAGGTAAGATCTTTTTTTAGATATTTGTGGATTTATCTTTGGGATTAAAAAAAGCAATATATTAGCATCCTTTACAACAAGTTCAATAGAAAATCAATTTCTGCACATTCATTTTTACTTTCATGAAAATAAGCTCTTACAATAGACATCTTGGCTTACTTACTGGCTCTTATAAGCTTTAACAAGTATGTCATGATTTTATCACCATATTTAACAGGTTTACTAAATATAGATATACAGGTTAATACATGACAGAAATTAGGTACTGATCAGGAATTGCCATTTCGGATCTGAAGTTGAGATATGTTTTCTTCGCGTTTTTTTTTTCACTTTGTTTTCACTCATGACATATATGTCACACTTTTAACTTTACCACAACCCAATAAAAATTCTTCTCGGCAATTTAGGTTTATGAGGCAAATATCTTAACAATTCACATTTAACATATCATGACCACAATCAAAAATAGCACAACCCTGTCCACATAGTGTACCAAGCAATTCTTGATATGATCGTCAATTATCTCTTATTTGCAGATTTTATCATTTTCAATCCAATTTGATTGTGGTTGTTGAGCTAGCTGCACAATCACTTCCCAGTTTACTGACGAACCAGCATATCTCATTGTGTAAGTTGTGCTTACTATCACTTCTGGGACACAATCTGGGTGTGCTTCTCCTCCTGCTTCATTGCTTTCTGGCAGTACTTAGAAGTCTGACCACAAAATGACCTTCTTTTGTTTATCACAGCTTAAAATCATTGATCCTCCTGGATGCCAGGAACATGCTACCACAGAATGACTGAAAGGAAAAATCGTTACACTGATATTAGAAATTGTGTTAGTTGAGGACACTGATGGTGTTGGATGTGATAATGTAAAACATCTCACCTACCACAATTAAGAGAATAGTCAATGCAAGAATACTACATTAATTTCTACAGCCTTGAGTTCTCTTAATCCAAAATGTTCACATCAATTTTCAATAATGGAATTGAAGTTCTTTTGTCCATTGCTCTGACAATGAAACTAGCCAAATTGGTGCAAATTAAAGAAACCTGTTGGCAACTTGGCTAATGTTAGCATGAGCAATATTTGTTAATACTATAGTTAATTTTACCTTGAAGTAAAAGGCTGATGAATATGGCATTTCTTGGCAAGTGAGCATTATTTTATGTGGAAATGGTATTCAAAAAAAGTTTCTAAAATAATATTTACAAAAATTTAAGAAGAAAGAAAGAAAGAAGGAAAGAATGTCACCACAGCTATAACAGTATATAGTAATATTACATGCTGGAATACGACATTGGAAAAAGAAATAGGAAAATAAAAAGATCCAACTCCACTCACTTGTGTTCCTTCAGCTGCCTCTCAACCTTGTTCTTTTTAATGTCCCAAATGAATACTGTGCCGTCACCGCCCCCTACAGTCACGTATTCTCCATCAGGACTGAACACTGCTCTTGACCAATCACAGCCCACGTGAAATCCTCCAGTGCAGAAAGTCCCCGTCACTTGGTTCATGCGAAGGTCGATGATTTTTAAAGTGTCGTCTCTTGAACAACTTAGGAGATAGTTACGATCTGCAAAAGGGAGATGAATTTGGGTCTTATATAGTCAAATAAAACATTATCCATATTGGATGTTTAAAATATGCATTCTACTTGCAACTAATAGAGACTTAAGATAGAGAATGATTATTCAAGACAAGATTATTTCAGTGTATTGTGCTGCCTCTTACAGCTCAAACACATACCCCTGAATAGTGTCTCTAGACCCTCCTTGCAGAGAGAGAGAGTGAGAGAGAGTGAGAGTGAGAGAGTCATTCATTGTACTGTGCTGCCACCTACAGTTTATAAACCTAACTAGTGTGCCCAGCCCTCCTTACCTGGTGACAGATCCAGTGATGTGACCCTCCCCTGCAGAGAGATCTCATTGGCGCTGGACTCGGACCTGGTGTCCCAGAAACGTATCCTCTTGTCAAAATGGCCACTAATGATGTTGCTGCCGAACCCGTCTGATGTGACAAGATCATTGCAGCTGGAGCCAGCAAATATTGTCTTGATACCTGAGAAAAAAAAAATGACTGGTATGTTTGACTTGCTCGTAAACAGCAATTCTAATGATTTTTTTTTTTAATTTCTAAAAAAAATTGATCTTTTTCACCCCCTTGGTTGACCAAATTTGATAAATGAAATAGAACCTAGTTCATATTTCAAGTCAGAGTGGACCTGTTCCTCTACAGCCTGTTTAAACTTATATATTGGTATAATTCAAGGTATAGGCACCTCTGCAGTTATGAAACACACAGCTATGAAACCATCTGACCTTATATAGGGGGGTATTTCAGCCTGAGATTTCTACACATACTTTTTTTGCAAAACCTTTTTAGCCTCCTGACACTTCAGGCCTAATGGTCATAAGGATTTATTAACAAAAGTAGAAACATTGACCAGCAATAGAGGGAACAACACTTAACTTACTCGATGCGATTTTACTAGCCAGTATTAGCATTCCATACTGTTCTTCAGAATAATGTATCTGTAATTTTAGTAAATATATGCCATGATATATAGGTGACTCACATGCCCTGCTGACTAGATCCCATATCTTTAACGTCCTGTCATGACTTCCTGAGACAACTTTATTGGAATCCCCCAGAAACTTGGCAGCCAACACCTTCCCACTGTGTCCTGTCAGCGTATGCTGGAAATAGGGGTCATAAAATGTTAACAGGAGCTTATTATGAACTTGTGATAGATACTGTCTTAAACTTTGAACTTTTAAGGCAAATGTTTTTTATGGAATCTATGTCAAAAATGTGACTGCTAACACCTTATCAGGGTGAGTGATAATATGACAAATAATTTTATATTAAAAATTGGCATTAAGAACATTTCAATTTATGGATTTTTATAAAAATACCAAATATATAGAGCCCAGTGAATTTAACATGCTATTATTACCTTAAGTAATTTATAGAAAAAAAACCTATCGTAGGAAATATGAACAGGTGTTTATGAATGTGTACGTGTTTGTGCATGCATGTGTGTGTGTGTGTACAAGTCTTGAGGTCCACTCACCCTTAACCTGTGATCTTGAAGTGACCAAACTCGACTAGCAAAGTCATTAGAAGCACCAAGAATCAAGGTTTCCTGGAAAATATTTGAAAATTTATGAATTTAGACAAAAGAGCCCATATAATCAACACTTTCACACACATTTTACAAAACTGACAAAAATTTTGACATCATGTGTGTTTATCATGACATATGTTTTACTTCGTACTCACCTCTGTATTGACATCGAGAGACATGACACCTGCGTTACTCCCTAACAGAGTCCCAACTGTTTCACAGCGACCTAAAATTGAGGAGGAAAAAGTTGGGAGCGATGTCATCTCAAAATACAGCTTACAAGTGCTTTAAGACAGCATTTATCACTGCATTAATGTGATCAAAATACACAAATAAGGAAGTTTTTTTTCCTAAGGTAAAATATCTTTTACAGTTTTGAAGTTTAGATGTTTGACTACCAAAATGGAAGTGGTAATAAAATCGTTTTGATTAATTCTAAAAAATAATAATGTTAAGTCATATCTCCATAGATCTCAAAAATGGATTGTAATACATTTGGTTTTAATCTATATATTTGTATATCAAATATTGTAAAAAAAAATAAAGCAAGGCACATACTAAGGATTTAAAAAAAAAAGAGAGGTAAAAGATAAATTAATAGTATCTGCATTGCAATTATTTTTAAGAATCTAAACAATCATTTACAAAATGGATCACTATAATATGATGTATTAGCCTATCTGCCTAGTGATGGTTAGGAAAAAAACTAATTGCGTTTCTCTGTGAATGAAAATCATTTGTGCAACTGATCTAAAAGGTTTTGATTTCATCAGGGAAAAATAAAAACCCATTTTTGTATAAAATACAAAATAAATATTTATCAATTAATGAAACTGTAATATTCTAATCTTCCCAAATCAAAACGTATTAAATAATATATTTATTATAAATTTGTTCATGATGATCTCTTAATCCAATGATAGATCTAATCATTTGTTTATCAAGGTTTTTATCTGTCTAAGAAGAGAGTTAGTCTAAGGGTGTTTGCATAACATCCAACCTGTTGATTTTCCCATTAGCTCTTCTAATATTGTGCCTACATAGATCAAACACAGCGACTGTACTATGTTATTGACAAACAAATCAGAAATCTGTCAAAAATTTGGTCTGCCAAAATTTTTGACTAAAAATAAATCAGTAATACCCCCTTTAATGAAAAAGTGCATCTGATTCATATAAAGAATGGCAGAAATGAATAAAGAAACAGCTAATGCCAAAGATCAGTATTTAAAATTTCTTTAGTTACTTGTTACAGATTTACCTTGCATTGGTCTTTGGTTCTGTTTTAAAACCAGTCTTTATATCAATTCCTGTTAACAGAAGTGTGTCTTATTTATGTCACTTACCACTTTTGTATTCCCAGAGTTTAATTTTCCTATCAGTGCCCCCTGTGGCAAACAATCGGCCAGAATAGCTCCACCTGATGGCGTTCACCTCACCCTCATGGGCATCCTGGAGCAAAAATTAACAAAACATTCTTTTCTTTTATTAATATTTACATGGAAACTCATTTGGTTTTAGACTATTTTATTTTTCATTATAACTCAGAGAACAATATTTATTCACAATTCTGAATCTTTTTTTTGTTTTTAACTTTTTCAATATATTTCAATATTTTACTCATTTCAACAACTCTTTTCCTGAGAACTTCACAATGATAAAAGGGCATTGCATTTCAATAACAATGCCCAAAATGATCATTTTACAACATTTTAAACAAAATTAAGGAAAACTTACAAGTTTACAAAGGGCTTTGGTGGGCAGGGAAACACTCAGGCAGAAAGGTACGGGCGGATTACTGGATATACTCCCACTGCTCTGGTGTGAGCGGTCAGGTTTTATAGTCACTTGTTCCTTGGCTGCCTCCGCCAACTCCCGCTGCATTTTGGCCTGTCGCATTCTGAAAATATCGCAATTTTAAGTCAAATTATGTTAAGATGAATATATTTCCAGCTGCAAATTTAAATGGTCAGATGTTATGCCACTTTGAGCTGCATTTAAACTTGCTACTTGCTGAGGACACTATTTTCTAAAATCATTTGGTCACTTGAAAAAAAAAATTAAATATATTTAAAAATCTCAATGGCAAAAGGATAATACTTTTCTTTGCTTTTTGAGCACATTAATTGAACCAGTGCTTTTCTGCCAACAACATATTCTAAAACCAAGTATACTAAATATTTATCACACCCAAAACTGAAAGTCCTATTCCTACAAAACACTGTGACAATACAGCATTTTCTGATTGGCTTCAAGGCACTGATATTTCTTTTCCCCCCAAATCACACACAGATGATTGTTTCTTCCACTATTTTTTTGATTGGAGAAGTCAGTTTACATTGTTTATGTGAACAAAAGAGCAAAAACACAAAAATGAAAGTTTGTAAGAGCAGCTGATCCTTAATAATACCAAAATAGTTCTCTTTTTGACAAAGAAGAAAAACTGCACACAAAGTTAATCAGCAGAATTTTTCTTATTTTTAGACCAATCTTTCTGGACACTTGGAGTCACCTATTTGTAGTGATTACAATTATTTTCACCTTTTCTCACTGAATTAACAAAATGAACAAAACATCTAGCCTATGAAATATGGTGCTTAGCTACTGAATGACCCGATTTTAGTTCCTAAGTTGTTTTTGCAACTTCTGTCAATGTTGAGTCATCGTCATACATGTGGATTTCACCATGTTTAATGTTTTTTATCAATAAAATATTATATCAATTTATAGATTACCTACCCCATAAGGACAGTATTACTGTTACAGCTTGAACTGAAATCCTCACAAGACACACAGTACAATATAATGGCAAAATGCAGCCATCTTCCACACCTTTCCTGAACTAAATCATGTTAAAACACTAAAAACCTCGTTTTCTCCAATTTCAAGTACTAGTATTCCATATTCCACTTCCTCTAGAGGTATGGCCCAGCCTCAAGTCGTGCTGATATCAAATATTAAATACATTCCTTACTTAGTCATAGCTTTTGCTTTCAAAATTATTCCAAGCACCTTTTCAAAGTCATTCAGTCATGTGTTGATCTGTTGACTTCTTACTTGGCATTTTCTGGACTTGACTTGCCAAGTCAGGAAATTTGTTTTTTTTTTAGATCAAAATCCTGTACATAGTGTCACTGATACTTATCTTTAGATTATAATTTTTAGAGCTTGAGACAAAAATTAATCTAATCTTAATGTATACTTATTCAATAGCTGGATAAAAGCGCTATTATTATTGAGAGAAGAGTTTCATTAGCTCTGTATGTATCAATTTAAATTATTGTTTTTCTTTTTATCAAGAGCTTATAAAATATGTAGGTTTTACCTCCAATATTTCTGTGACTGTCGCTATTATTATTATTATTAATATTTTTATTATTATTATTTTTATTATTATTACTTTAACATGACGGAGAACTAATACTACAAGAAAGGAATAAACCACAAAGCTCTTGAAGAAGCTACACTCAACCAGAATAGCTTAGATACCATTATATCTAATTATATTACTATTATAATAATCCATTTTCAGAGGTTGTATTCACAAGCTAACAAACTGAAATGTTAATATTGTCTGCATTTGCAGGCTTATTATCTTGGGCTTAAACAAAATTGGCTGCATTTATAAGCTGACTAACTATTATGCTACCTTCATTCAAAATCTAACCAATCAATTTGAACTAAAAACTGATAAAATCTACAAGAGCTTTCTAGGAGGACATTCAGAACAGTGGACTGACAGATCCATGGATCAAACGTGACGACCCGATTAAAAGCTTGCCAATTAATTCCAGATCACACATTGAATACATTCCCTGCGGGGATTACACAACAAGCGTTGAAGTGGGGTTAACCATTTTTGATCTGTGGATCCGTTTTTCTGAATGCTCTCTAATGTCAAAGAGTCTCACCTAAATGCGACATCGTTTTCTTCATTCAGCTTGTCAGCCATGAGTGCTTTCTGCTCCATCCATCTCGTCACCAGCTCATTATTTTCTTCGTGGATTTTTCGGAATTTCTCCTCCAATGAAGTAAATGCAAGCTGCAGAGCTTGCTGCTCATCTTTTAACATCTGGAGGGAAGACAGATGGAAAAATAACCTTGAGATTCAAGCCAGTAGAAACTTATCAGCAGATTTCGTTAAATCTTATATAAAAAACACTGCTATACTCACTGTGGACTTGAACTGTGCAATGACTTAACTCTAACACAAAAACAAAAGGCAGGCAAAAAGAAAAATGGTACCACTACACTTTCCCAGAAAAAATTCTAAAATTTTTCAATGTTACTTTGATCTTCGTGTGGCTGAAAAATTCCAAGTTAATATGAAATAATGACTGTGTTACTACATCCAAGTTATTGATTCAAGCATTAAGCTTGAACTATAATCTCTTGTCATGAATTTCATTATCCTTAATTAAAAGTGATACAGAAAACAAAAAACTTGCAGTAGGCTATTACCCATAGACTGAGTGTAACACCTCACCTGATTGGTTGCTTCTAACTCCATAATAGTTCCCTCTAATGATTTGTTAGCAGCCACCATGGCACGGATATTGGATTCCATATCAGACAGCCTGAGATGTATGAAAAGATACTTGTCTATTTGAGAATTGACAGAGCAAAGTAATTATATTGCAATAACACAAATGCTCTCAAATATAATTGTAAATCATATGAAAGTAATGCATAATTGAAACACTGATGTACGTAAAAACAACAGAAAACCTATTGTATTTTTGAACTTGCTGATAACTTTGACTGATTTGTAGTCACAATTTCCATCCTGTAATGTTTATATAAAATTACTGTCAGTAGTTACTGGTAATAAGATGATTTCTCAATTGAAAATTCTAGTCTTTTTAACCTGGTTACCAACACTTACTTTCCATCTTTACTTTGGATTTCCCTTTCTTTTTCTTGGAGTATATTGTTTAAATCAATAATCCTCTGAGAGTTCTAAAAAGTAAACAAGATTATGTTTTTGACTTGATATTTGTCTCTTCTATCAGTTTATATTTGTGTAATAAATTTTCTTATATTTTGATCAGAATTAACCAAGAGAGAGAGAGAGAGAGAACGGGAAAGAAGATATTACTAGTACATAGTTTGTGTGTGTTCAATGTGTATATGAGATGTGTGTGTGTGCGTGCGTGCGTGCATGTGTGTATGAGAGAGAGAGAGAGAGAGAGAGAGAGAGAGAGAGAGAGAGAGAGAGAGAGAGAGAGAAATATATATATATATAAAGACAGAGATTACCTCCCCCTTCTTTCTATGAAGCTCTGTCAATTCTTCCTGTAACTTGAATAGTTTCTGTTCTAGCTCTCTAACCCTTTCTGCTCCTATGACCCCACCTCCACCACTATAAAGAAGAAAAACAGTATGTAATTTAAGCAAATACATGTACTGGGGCAACACTACCAAAAACATATATTACAAAATGTATACAATATTATATGCACACACAGGACACTTCAACGATTTGGATTTTGTTCAGTTTAGAGATTGATTAAAATTCAGAAGTCGGCTAAAATCCAAGCAGAAACCGACTTTAATTCAGCTAAAAATGTCTACATCATATGGACATACCTTTTTTCTTCTCGTTGTGTGCAAAAATAATCTGAGAAAGCTAAAAGCTAAAAGCACTACATCATGTCATTGGAAAATTCGTGAGACATTGGATACCATACTGGTAATTCCTTCTGACTAGTTGAATATGGAATTTTTTTTTATCTCAGCTACTTCTCAGCTAATATTTAAGAAGTTCATCTGTCATTAAAATTCAGTTTTACTCACCCAGAATCAGTTTTTAAACTAAGCTCCAGGTTTTCATGCTTTAGTCTTTCCGTCTCTAACGTAAGCTGAAGGTTCTTTGTCCGCACTGAATCCACACTTTCAAATAATTTATTGTCTGGAAAAAATCGGTAAGGTTATGTGATCAGACAGATTATTATAACAATTTCTGTTTTACATCTAGTCATAAAACTTTTTAAACATTTTATGATAACCCTTTAGAAAATTTCTTACAGGAATCCCACAAGTAGGTGTGTGAAATATGTAGTGCTAGTTCAGCGACAGCTGCTTTTTAATGCATCCTTGTACAAACTGTGTCAAGAAAAGAAAAAGGATCAAATCTGCAATTTTTAACCTATTTGAGATAGGGTAGGCATTTTGGCTAAATACAAAATTTGATAATAAGGTGTTAAATGCTAACAGAGACAACAATAATAAAATAAATCAATTTCAAAACACCAAGTTACTTTCACTTCCCTTTACACTACATGTGGCTGTCTTGTGGCTGTGCTACATTTACAATTATAATCTTTCATTTTCATTTGAGGCAAATACAGTTGATCCGTCTCTTTCACAAAACTCTAAGCAGACTGATATGAAAAATTTCAGATTTTCTTCATCTGAATCTCAGCAGAGGGCGGTGAGAGTGAAAAATAAGAGAAAATGGATTATCTAACAAACACAGTTACTGAGTCAGCTAGCCTGTGACAACAGCAGCCTATCATTTCCTTGCTGGCAATTAAACATTCAGATTCACTGTTCCTTACTCCAGTTAACAGAAAGAAGGTTGGAAAAAGGGTGTACTCACGTGCTTGTATTAAACTTAGGAAAGGTTGATGCTCGCGTTTGTCGCGTTCTTTAATTAAGTCCCGAATTGTACTTTTCCAATCTTGCTTTGCAACTCCTTCCATCATGTTTTCCTGAGCAGCAGAGTCAATTATTAGACTGTATTTGCTTTCGAATTTTGTAATATGTAATTTATTGATATAATTTTGAATTTTGACTTTTCTTTCAACAACGATAGTAAAATCTATAATTTATAAAAGTTATAGCCAAAAAATGGTTAAAGGTAAGTTATTTTTGACATAAAACATTTTTTGTATTTGCGAAACTTTTTGTACAATTTCATAACAACTCTGATTTGTAACTACAGATCCCTGGCGGCTTCTACAAACACTGTCTCAGGTAAACGTCTCGACTTTTGAGTAATTTGGAACCTTTCGAAGATATAACAATAGTCAAATACGCAAGTAATTTGAATGTTAAATCCAAGTCTAGTTTTGGTTTCATTTAGGATCATCGCACGTTCATTGGTAAGTTAATTAACTTAAGTACTTCCGCGTTGCTCAGAGCTGTCAGTCGCGCTGTTAGGCAGTAGCAGCGCAATGAACATCCTCTTTTACAACCGTGCCGAGTCAAAACCTGGCAATGGATGTAAAACATAAGTCGCTGGCATTACATTGTAGATTCACCTGTGCTGAGAATAATTATCTTCACGGATTAGTTATCTATTTATATAAGTTTATTAATATTGATATACTGGGATATGCACAGGGTATTACAGCAACATAGAGATCCAAGGGTATTCAGCGCATATAACTGCTGTAGCATGATAATTATTAATAGTGACTACATTTTAAAAACTGTTATACTCCTTCGTCTCTCTCCTTGAAGCAGAGGGACTAAATGGACAGGGTGGAGAAGAAAATAGGAGAAATAACATAAAAATCAAAGAACTTGATAAAAATTGTTTCATAAGTACTTGTAGGTGCTGTAAACTTCAGTTTTGTAGAATGTGTTTAGATATGAGCAACATACAGTAACATACCAATGTTAGTATCTGATAAGATATTAGGTTATCTTTATTAGGTCAGCCTGCAAGGCCATGCAGTTGTCTCTCAAAGAAATAAAAAAAAAAAATCTCATATAAATTATATATATACTGGGATATGTTTTTGATTTATTAAACCCAGGAATGTCATAAATACTTGTATTTTGGAGATAAATATGTGTAGGTTATATAAGTGAGGTATTATTGCAGGAATATATGCTCAAATGAGTAAAAAAAATTACCAGCCTGGAAGCTGTGTTCGATTTGCCATGACTATGATGACTGAATGTAAATGTGTTTGAAACCAGGAAGTTTTAGCAGAGATAGTGAAGTATGAAGCGTATAAACTGAGGTCATGAATGTGATCACACTGACAGCCATGATTAGCAATGATAGAGAGACACCAAGCGATCATGTGTTAAAGAATAATCTAACGATTTTACAATATAGGAGCATATGTCAGAAATGACTACATTGAGGTGGATAGTGCATTTTTTGCTATGGTTATGGGCATAATTGCATAGTCATGCATGCGCTCAACTGGCTTGATGTGCACAGGAAGTATTTTAATGCATTTGTATAGATTTCTAAAATTCTTAACCAGGAAGTTTCCTCAGTTCCTTCTGTAGGCAAGATGAAATCATAGCCATGGGTAGGAAAAAACTTTCTTATTGGAAAGGGATCATCCGCTCTGAATCATAGTTTGATCTGAATGTTTTTTTTTTTTTGGTGGAAGATGTATGTGTGCATCCCAAAACGAAGTTTATGTGCATTATTTTAGATAAAACCTCGTTGAAGTAATAGTATGTGTTAAATTCCACATGCTATCTTTGTTTAATGTACAATAACAATGAAAGTATAATATATACAAGAGAATTAGGACTGATTAATTCATATCCCTCTTTGAAGTAGAGCTGCAGCTCATCTCTGTTATCTATCTGACAGTAAGTGTTGACCCAGGAGAGAGCTTCACTGTGACATATGTACATATTTATGTTATCATAAAACCCTGAGGGATCATGTTCTCCTGTGACACATGCCTGTATTGTGGGCCTGTGCCTGGCGTCTCTTCCTCTTTAGGGCGTGCTTACACAAAGGCTAATTGAGACTTAGGATTCGTTCACAACAAAACTATAACACTAGGTAGTTCGAACTAAATCTGAGGGGACTCTTGTTGAATGCAGATCACCAGAGTAACATGCCTCCACCTGGCATTGAGAATAATACAGAAAATCTGGTGATTACAGTATACAACAAAGTTCCCACAGAGTCTGTTGAACCTACCTAGTATGATAGTTCCATTGTGAGTGCACCTTTTTTTTTTTGTGGATGTGGGGTGTGTTCAATAAAGATAAGAGCCAGGGGTCTTGTTACCATGGGACATGCCTGCATTGTGAGCTGCCTGTACTTGTTATGTCTCACTCCTTATATTTTGTTGAAACAGCATAAAATATCAACCTCATGGTAGTTATCTTCATTCAGGAAAAAAAATGATCGACTCTCTAAAATAAACACTCTGAAATGACATTTTCCTGTTTACAACAGAAAAGTGCTCAGAGACATTATCTAGTATGTATTCTTTAGCCTTTGTTAAAAATATATTGCATGTGCTGTGGAATGAAGCACCTGCTTTTGTGTTGAATGTGGCAACTGATTGTATTTTGATCTGGTGGGTTCCCATCTTCATTTTCTACTACTTTGATTGGAAAGAAAGTAATTGTTACTGTTATTGTACACTTATAAAACTATTAAACAAACTATTTTGAAGAAAAACTTTAAAAATATTATTCAGAACATCAATGGTCTACTATACTTCCAGATGAGGCACAATGGCCCAACTACTAGCTCATTTTAAGAACATTACACGCCTGAAAGCTGAAGAACTCCTGTTGGAGTCAGGGAAAGATGGCAGCTTCCTCATACGTGACAGTGAGAGTATTCAGGGGGCGTATACTCTGTGTATTTTGTAAGTAGTTTGGACTTTGGGTTTTAAGACTGTTTTTAAAATTATTTTTCACTTCTGTAGAATAAAGCTTACTAGTACATGAAGGTTTCACATTTCATCAAATGACAAATAGACTTGAGTTGTACCCTCTACCAGGGCTAGTGATAGATTTTTTACAGATATTCACAGATATGTCTCTAGCTAGATAGATGGTCATTTAGGGCTCAGCTCACCCTGTTGAGGAATCCCATGTGGAAACAATTATCTCTGCGCGCGCCAAAGGCTTTGTACTTGCTCTGTATGAGCTGAGCTTCACAATGATGTGATAACTTCTTGTTACACAACCAGTCTAAGGCTTTTTTATCTGTCACAGAAGAGCAAGTGATTGAAGTCGGAGTAATTGACTGTCTTGATTGCTGTCACGCAGACTAACACCCCATTTCCATAGATTAGATCGACCTACTTTAGATCGACCTAACTCCCTGGGGGTTCACGCTAAATAGCTGTCAGCCGGGCGGACACGAAAGTTAATTACCCTCTTACAGCTTGTAGTAAGCGGGACGGACATTTAAGTCGGATTATCTGAAAGTAATCTAGTGAGACTCCCTGCTGGGATAGATCGATCTAAAATCTATGGGAATAGAGCCTTAGACTGGACCTGCTAAGTGGCAGTGCCTGAGCAGTCATGTAAACAATTATCAGCCATGTAATCAGCCTTGAGATTTCTCAACAGGGTGCGTTGAGCCCTAAATGACCATCTATCTAGCTAGAGACATATCTGTGAATATCTGTAAAAAATCTATCACTCGCCCTGGTAGAGGGTACTTGAGTTGTGGCGTTTCATGTAGAATCCCATTGGCTAGGTCATGCAGACTTCAAATGGGTGAAGGTGTCTGTTATATATACTCCACCAAGAAAGAAAAGAGGAGAACACTCATAGATGTACGATAAATCCACTGCCAAGCAGCTACAATATTTGAATAATGATGATGAAGAATAATGCTGTCTGGTCAGGCTTTTGTATAAAATTTCGGTTACTTATAAGTCTGAGGCTGAAGGTCTTTCTTCACTGATTAAACAAATCGTACTCCTTTCTTCTTCAGGTACCAGGGTAGAATACACCAATACCGCATCCTGACTGGTCAGGACGGAAAACTGTCTGTCCAATCAGAGAAGGGGGTTCAGGAGAGGAAGTACGTTGACCTGTCACAGCTTATCCACGAGTATGTGAACCGAGGCAGTAATAATGGGTTGATTTGTGCTCTAAAGTATCCCGTGGAGGAGAAGAAACCTCCAGAACAGGCCAAGTTGACTGAGGAGCCAGATAGTGATACAGGTATTTACTGTAGAAGTGTTTGATTGGTTGTTGCCTTGATTGGTGAATTAATCTAAAAACCATATAAATAAAGCATATACCTTTCTGTTTAGTTTTTATGAGTAACGTCTATTGTATAGCAACAGACTGTGGACGTATGTTTAGTATTTAGATGAGATAAAGTTTTGAGCTGCAGATACCAGTCATGGCAGAGATCTATATAAAAGTTTGTTTTTGTCAGCAACAGGTCAACCTGCTTCACCCTATCTCTGTTTCTTAAAACATTTTTTATGTACAGACACAGTTATGTCTGTCTCATTGCCCTTGCCTGTGTCTGGTTGCGTCACCAGAAAGGGAACGAGCTGTGCACTTTTTAATATCTTTAATCCAGACGATGATGATGATGAGTCAGACTTTGAGCAGGTCCCTCCCACTGTTACATCTCCGTCACTGGAGACTGCTGACACTCTGGAGTCAAGCCCAAATGATGACGACATCACGCGCCATTTCCAGCAAAAACTGACAATGCTGGAGTTATCAAAGTAAGTAATAGTTACCAGTAAAATTAAGCATAATGCAAATCAGTATTTGTATTTTTTCTGAAGACTAAAAGGTAGAACATTGCATGTTTTTCTTTTGAAGTGTGGAGGGCCCATTTATTGGTGCCTTACAAGAATATGCTGACTATGGCGCTAAGAATGACGTCCTCACCATCAAATCAGGAACAAGTTCCCATCTCCCTGAGCTGCAGAGGCTGCTGGCAGTGGCTGCAGTGAACTTAGAGAGGTATTGTATCAGTACACATTGTGGTTTATTTTGTTACACTAGTCTTCTCCACATTGTGCTCTGTCACACCTAACACACTGAGTGCATCTCATCCACATTGTGCTCTGGCACACCTAACACACTGAGTGCATCTCATCCACATTGTGTTCTGTCACACCTAACACACTGAGTGCATCTCATCCACATTGTGCTCTGTCACACCTAACACACTGAGTGCATCTCATCCACATTGTGTTCTGTCACACCTAACAGATTTAAGGACTTTCCATTTGGTTTTTACGTGATGTCCAAATGTAATATCACTCGTTTCTCAGCAAACAAACCATATATGATGCCAGTTCCTCATGGTAAACAAGTATCAAATGTTATTTTTATTACTATTGATTGTTCCATATATGTAGATTTCTAGCTTTGAACCATTTGTGAAATTTTGACTAATTTTTTAGTAAATTATAAAACTTTATGAATCTTACTAATATGTTTATAAAACTTGTTTTCAGGCATTTTGAGAATTTTATGGATAAAATAGAGTTGTGCCATGAACTGTTTAGTCAAACAGCCACTCAGAATAGTAAACCGCCCAAAGCAAGGCGCAGCAAGGTGAGAGAACATCATATGTTTTACACATGATCAAATAGTTTAATTCATTGCACTTTGTTGTCTCTTTTATGAAATATTTCATTGATTGAGAACAAAAAAGTTAAGTTTCTGCCAATAAAAATGCTACAATATTCAGTTGTGCTCAAAGCAGCTGAAACATCTTTTAGTTTATGAACTTTAGTTTAAAGGCCTTTGCCTTTGATTTGAATAACATTGTTGAGATAATAATGATAATGTTAATTATAAGTAATGATAATAAGTGTCTTAAAGGTTATCACCTTTCTTTTTCTTGGTCTTTTTTTTAAAATTCTTTCCCTCGTTTTCTTCAACAGAAGCAGATATCTGTGAATCTGGAAGAATTGTTCGAGAGGTTGGCCAATTTAAAATCTGTGACATCAGCCCTGGAACAGAAGGTATGACCAAGTGAAATATTGTACCATGTGACACTAATAGCTTAGTACCCTTAACCAAGTAACCAAGTATTGCTGTTTGATTCATTATATTATTGTTATCAAATTTGATAAGTTGGTTATAATAGTGGTAAATATTTCTTTATTTACTAATTCATCTGCATGTTCTCCTCTGCTAGATACTTATAACAGCTAGTATTTAATATTGTATGTCGGGTTATGCTTGAAATAAATAAAAAACAGTAATCAACTCACCTGCATCTCAAGCATCCTAAACTACAAAAGCACCCTGTTCTTTCACCTGCATGAGCTTTTACATATTGGTTAACAAAATGGAAACTTGCATTGAATGGATGAAGCCCAGAAAAAATAGATAATACCAACTTCCATGATAATAACATTCCATCCATCTGCTGTGACGGCAATGGCTTCTTGTCTGTCCAGTTTAGCACCATTTGAAAGCATCTTCAGCTGAACTCAAAACAAGAGAAGTTTTTAATTTTCAGATGGCATTGCTACTGGTGAAATGTGTTAATTAACCAGTGATATGTCAGATTGGAACTTTAAGTCTGTTTGTAATTAAACCTCAAGTCATATTGTATTCCTAATATATATATAATTCCAGGCCTCCTCAACATTAGCCAGTATGGCAGCAGAATTAAGCACATCATCACCAGTAAGGGAACATTCTACTTTATATGTATTTTGTGTGAATTAATTTGAATTTTTAAATTACGCATTTATGTAAAATTTTTTCGAATGAATTTCTCATTTGTTTTAAAGGGAACAGATGACCTTCTTTTTACATGGGAAAGGTATTCAATGAAAATGAAACTGAGAGTCAATATCACATTAATAATTTGATTATATCATTAAAACTGCATAGCGTTGCATGTCATATTGTTTCCATTTATTAGAAAAAAGTTTATATTATTTATTTCAAAATTCTGGGTTATTTCCTAATAGTCACCTCTAACCTGGCACACAGGTGGTGGTTTATTTTGGTTTCTGCACAAAGTTTTAACTTCATTCTTCTTCCATGCACTCACTTGCCTCCCTTGGATAAAGTACTAATTTATGTCTGTTTTATTATTTATTTATTTATTTTTATTTATTTTTTTTTATGTACAGACACAGATGTGTCTGTACATATAGCCATCATCTGCGTCTGTCGTCGCCGTTGTCGCCGTCGTCGCCGTGCACTTTTACCGATAACACGATAAGTGGAAAACCATTTTACCTTTTGACTTGAAACTTGCAGAACTGATGAATATTCATAATACGCAGGTCAAGTTCGAAAATCAGCATGATTGGGTCACTTTTAGGGAATTTATGCTGTTTTTTCACTTTTTTCAGCATATATGCAGCACCAATAACACGATAAGTGGAAAACCATTTTACCTTTTGACTTGAAACTTACAGAACTGATGAATATTCATAATACGCAGGTCAAGTTCGAAAATCAGCATGAT